TCATTCGAATAATAATATGATATTATTTTGATACAAGGTCCTGATCAATAAATAATTTCAGCTCGTTATAGTTCTTTTAATTAAAATGTCGAGTAAGCGATGGTCTAATTAATTATACTTTACTTAAGTCAAATGAAACTTTTTTTTTAATTTAACTCCATTCTATATAATATTGATTAAAGAAACGAATCCTTTTTATTGCACTGATATGTTATTATAGCTTACAGGTAGTAGTTCCTATATTTAATTCTTCCAATTTATAACTCTAATCTCGAATAGCTAAATGGAAATTAAATATTATTCGGCAAAAAGTATTTTTGTTCGGTATTTAGTATATAATTTTACTGAATTCACAAAAAAATTACCTCATTAATTTACGTTTTCATCGATATGCATATAATAATTTTATTCGTAATCTCATCAAGTAAAATAATGTTATTATTATCCAGTTCAATCATTTTGTTTTCTCTCGTCAAACATTAAATCTAACTAATAAATATACCATATAATCCTATTTACAAACTTTTTAAAATATAGATATTTATATATTATAGGTAACCATCAATCGTTTGTGATTTTTGTAGACCGTTGCCTTGCCCTGATAACAATATTAGTTTTTGGGAGTGAATAATAATAATTTACATTGGTCAGTGATAGTTATAAAAGAAAACCATCCGGTAAACAATTCCTAAATATTCTAAACACATAACGTAGTAATATTTGCGCATCGCGTAATACCTCTGCAGTGTAGTAAGTATACGGTCTCTTGAGAGAAACGATAGTAACAACGAAAAAATAACTCTCCAGTATAATGTACAATAATATGATATAGCTATTATATTTTCTTCTTGGCTCTCACGAGAATTGGTCATGGCTGTGGTGTTTAACGATCGAGTCGCTCCGTCGCGTATAGGCGTCACAAATAAATATAAATTTGTCGATCGAAAGAGCGAATTGTGCTCACTAAACCTAACCTAAGCTTTCGTCCGCGTCATGTAATGTCGTTGTATAGCGGTAGACCTTTGAACACGCCTCTCCTAACACCTCTCCCAGACGCCCCCGCAATCACCCCATCTTCTTCTTCGTCAACTAAGAAGGTATGTTTGTTGTTGTTCTACTCTATTATTCACCCCGCGTGGTCGAGTATCTTGAGTACGTGTCGTTTGAAGACGTGTCGGAGTTGCCTTTATTTTAAAAATGTTCCTCAACAGGCCACTCGAAAATATCTGTCATTAGTTCAGTGCTAGGGATTTAACGAAATTGTACATTTGTGAGGCATATAACACATTTAAAATCTAGTTCAATTCAAAAATGAATCGATTTGTTTTATAATAATATACAGTTTATATTTCAAAACATATTTTATATTGCACATTTGTTTGTTATTAGCTCATACTTTCATTGAACAAAAAAAAAAAAAAAAACAAAAAAAAAACAAAAAAAAATTAATAACTTGCCCGCGTCTTCTCAAACCATGAAGTGTCATCAATGGATGATTTATCGGTTCACACTATTTGACATTACATACATGCAAGCTCATCTCAAATACTTATTATAAAACTTAACTTACAGATTGTATTTCATTTAATAAAAACGAAAAAAAAATAATATTTTCCTGAGAAATAAACTAGCATAAATTTCACTTATGTTTAAAACCATTATGTAAAAATATATCAAAAGAATTTATTGATAACTACGTACTATGTTGGAAAATTTTAAATGGAGTGATAAAGATATTAATTTTACAATGATATGTATATAATTTTTAAATCTTTTTTTTCATCATATTTTGTAATATTAGAAATAGTTAAAATTCAACTTTTAAGTTTCATTTTTTTTAAATTGTTTATTTAAACGTAAAATTAAGATTTTTTTTTCAAATGGTTTTTATTATTTTGTTATAGTTAAAAAAGTATTGATTGTATAAAAATGTAGTATTTCTTTACTATCAAAATTATAAACGAAGCATATAGGTATAGTTTTGATTCTAGTTGTAATTATTCATAAATTCATTGTTTTCATTATAATATTAGATCTCAGTAACTTTTGCAGAATCTTATTGCAGCCTTACAGCTGGCCAAACTACATACCATTTCAACATTCTCTGCACTATTGTGCTGATGTGCGATCAATTAATTAAACGTCGACAGCTCGACAACGGGCATGCCAATGATTATGCATTTTTTTTATATATATATATATTGCTTTATGTGTTATTACTTGTGTTTTACACAAGTTGATTAGATTAGAAAAGTGTAGCTAGTAAATTTTCTTGATAAAATAAAATTGAATTATTTATCTGGGCGTATTATACGCATAACTGTTATAAATATTAAATGCCTATTATCATGCCACCGATTAATCACAATTGGTTCTTTGAAGTAATGATAAAGATAATACGTTAATAATAAAAATAATACAAACGAATCTATAAGGATATAATATGTAGCATTAAATTTTCATTGAAACTGAAAAAGCGTTATTATATACACGCCCACGCGAGGATTTGATGAAGTTAACAATGTATTGTATTGGTTATTGAATATGAGTAAGTTGTTCTTCGGCGTATCTACCTAACTACATGTTATTACGAGAAAGATTTGCTAAAAACAATACCAGGAGATTAAAATTTTTATTATTATTATTATTATTATTATTATTATTATTTATTTATTTATTTATTTTTTTTTTTTTTGATATCATGGGATATAGTGGATCACTTCTCTACTTTGTCTGTGAAGAAAATTCAGGGAAAAGCATCAATGAATACTAGAAAGATAAAAAATAATTTATTAGGCGTTGTGGATAATAGTATATTGCTAAAAAAAAAAATGTATATTACCTGTCCAAATAAATTGCACTTAATTTATAAAGCGCAGAAAGTCCAAGCTAAATACCCAATTTCTAGGGTCTTTTCAATATTGAACTTCATTGGTTTCTCTTCATTTCTGTCACTCCCTACCCTCAAAACTATATATATCATTTCGTCGCCGATATTAATTCAACAATTTATTTTCCCGATCGAAATTAAGTCGGTTGCAACAGCTGAGACACGTGATACCGTAATATTCTCCTATAAGAAAAAAAACGGTTTTATTTTTATTTTATTTTACTTTTCAATACTCTACCGTAACCCGTATACATACATATATACATACATAAATATACAAAGAAAGAGAGTGAGAAAGATTAGTTGTCGATTCTTTTAACAATATATTTAGTTTATGTAGTCCAAAACATAATATTATATTTTATACTAATTCCGTTTATATAATTTTTTTTTGATAATATGTAAATCAACAGTAAACAATGATTCTTCTGGTACTAGCATTATAAATATTTTAACTGTTACTATTACTTGCACATAATAATTAAAATAATATTATTTAATAAAATCAACAAATCTATTAAGTCAGTATTGGTGTATCGATATTATATGTTATATGAAATCCCGTGCTAAAATAATTGAAAATACGTATTATTTTATGAATATACTATAATTTATTAATATTTAATATTTTAAATACAAATATTATTTATTAGTATAATAAAATAATGACAGAAACTAATTATTTATATGTTTTACAATGTGTGATTAAAAATTATGCATTTTCCTGTTTTTTTCTTTTTAGAACTACTTTGTATTATGCACTGTGAATTGTTTAAGAGATCATGAAGATTAAAATTACAAAAATTAAGTTAAAAGATCATTCATAAAAAAATTCTCAAAAAAAAATTCAAAAAACTGTTAAAAAAAATAGCTGTAGGTACCTGTACAAAGTGTTTTTAAAGACAAAGAAAAATATACTGAAATACAGTTTGATGAAAAGTATTCTCTAAAGAGTTCCTAAAATATGGTGAGATTAATTTTGTTCCATTTATATAGAAACATTTCCAAATGAAAGTAATCCAAGATTTGGACTGAAAGTTTATAGATAATATCGAGTATGAATTTTAGAATATCGATTTGTGAAGTTAAATTTCTAAGAATAACATAGTATGTGGGAAAATTAAATAAATCACACACATTTATTAGGAATCAGAATTATTTTTAACATTGTGTTAAACCTAATATAATAGTACCGTCACAATCAATACTTAAGATGTGTATTTTATTTACTATTCGTATAATATTTTAAAATATTACCATTTATTTTTCCATATCTTCACGACACTGAACAAACAAATATTTGTCTTAATTGAATTAAACTATTTCTTAATAAACGAATAAACAATAATTACTTATAAAATCATGAATATGTAATACATTTAGGGGTATTCAATAATTTTTTTTTATAAATATGTATTTGCATTTATATATATATATATATATATATATATATATATATATGATATATTACTTACGTATATTAAAATACATTTATTGATCATAACATTTACTAATTCATATTTATGAAATAAAAATTAGAGTTTCTTAACATATTAATTTAAATTAATTAAACTATAATCAATTTATATTAAAAAACATTTTTATTTTTGTGAAAAAAACAAGTTTATTAAATGTCAACCTTATAGACAAATCCCTTTATATTGTACTTACTTTCAAAACAATTTTTTTCAGTTTGTATTAAACTATACTTAATCATAATAATAAATTATTTTAAATTAAATAATTTATTTTTATATTTATCAGTCGTTTCTCAAATTTATCGAAATAGTAAATGTCACGTTTCTAAACACGTATGTCAGTTTGTGATGATATCAGTGACATTTCTAACGCGGTCAAATAAAAAATATATTTACACGTTACTCCAGATTGAAATAATAGTTCGATAATGTTTGCGTATAAACATTTAAATACATTGATATTGCTTATACGGTAGTATTATGGAAACCACGAAAATATACAACTCACATTTTAATTAAAAGTATTATTTTTCTTTGTATAAGACACATTATAATGCAATATAAATATAAGCAATAATGTCATATTTTAAAAAACGCGCCGTTTAACTCTTAGGATTGTTATGATTTTTCAGGAAATCCTCCACCACTAGTCGTGTGGCTGAAAAACAATCAAGTGGTGGATGGCGAGTGTGAACACCGCTCGATAAACCTGATGGAGAACAGGCTGCACTGGCCGTCTGTTAGCCGTCAAGACTTCGGTTCCGTGTTTACATGCAGGGCATCAAACACGAAATTAATGGATCCCCGGCAGGCATCAGTCGTGTTGGACCTTAGATGTGAGTATATATATATATATATTTATATAGTATATATTCTTTTATTAATATTAAGCATCGATAAAATGTTTAATTTCATTTTTTTATAATATTTTACATGATTAATTTTTATCATGCTAGGTAAAATGAATAACAACTAGGTTTAAAAAAAAAAAAAAAAAAACTATGCTTTACAACACGAAAAAATATAAAAATATTTTGTATTAAATATATTTATCCAGTTCAATTCTTTCCAGAAAATAACGTTTTATCTTTAGCAATTGGGGTTGGTTATTTCATACAGGTTTCCTGATATGTTGTTTTTTTTTTTTGTCCTTGTTAGATCTATAAAATAATGTATATTATTACCAACAATAAAACACAGAAACAAACTAAAGAAGGTCATCTACATTTTTTTTCTACCGTTATCAAGTTGATTGTGAGAGAAGAAAGGATGGGTGGTTAATTAAAACCCAGCGGATATAATTATTTATATACAGATGTGTCTACTGGTAATGTATGTGGGTATATATGTATTATAGCTGATGGAAGCTCTGCAAGGGTCGGCAAGGTCGTCGATCTAAAGGTCTTAATTGGACGTCAGGAATTAAGCAGGAGAAAAAAGAAACAGTAAAAAAAAATAACGAACTTTATTAGCCTTTCGTGAATCCATTATCTCTGTCCCTTTTTATCTTTTTACTTTCCTTTCTCTCGCTTTCTCTCTTTATTCATCTTTTTCCATCTCACAACCTGCACTTTACTTCCACCATGTAATTACTATTTGTAATCGTGTGTACACGAAAAAAAATTAAGTTCCTTGATGAAAAATATAATGTGAAATAAAAGGCATTGGTGTTTCGTTTTTTTTTTTTTTCATCTGACTACTATTACATTGGTTAGGGTGGTAGTTTTTGTGTGAAAAGAATTTTTTTTTTTTGACGCCCACTCTGACCAAAGTGTGTCTGATTATCTGTGGTCCACCAATAGCCCAATAAACAACAAAGGGCAACAAACAAAAAGTCACAAAGTGAAAATAAAAAATACACTCTATGTTTCGTTTATAAGATGACTGTCTCACGTATTATTCGTTTTTAATCGATCAAAACTAAAAATATCTATAGAAAACCGTGATTCAAACGTAGGTACTATTTCATTTCACTGCAAGTAATAATAAAAAAAAAAAAAACAAACAAATAAACACAATATTCTTTTTCGTTATTATTCCTTTAATTCCTTGTATATAATTTTATTGATAAGCACGTTTGTCATTACTTAAATACAATTTGTACAATATTTTTATTTTTTTTTTTACTATTGTTATAATAGAATTTGTTTTATTTCTATGTTTTCCAATTGTATGATAAATGACAGTTATCACGTGAATCCTTTTGTTCATCATTGCACTCAGCGCGTGGCGTGCTTGATTTTATTTTAATGAAGAATAATCGAAAAATCTGACATATTAATGAGAAAATTAACAAGATTATGTTAGCTAAGTCTCTGTGTTTGCTATCTGAACTCTTAGAAATATATACATAATATAATATTGGCAATCGAAAATATTTCGTTGATTATTATATTATCAATTGTTTTTTTTTTTTTTGTTTAATATGAATTCGCAGAGCACTGATTTAATAATGCACAGAAGAAAAAATATATTTATTTTATTCATGTTAATAATATAAAGGTTAGATACTCTAAAATTAATTATGATTTGGCAGCCTTGAATAATCGCTATTAATTTAGTATATTGTGTTTAGTTATTTTATAAATGTTGTTTAGACGTTAGATATTTTGGTTTTATAATTAAATTAGTGAATCAAAGTGATACAAACACTAAAATCTTATTATTTTATGGTTTATTAGTTATTCAATGTTAAATTGTAAATGTGTTATACCAAAAGACATTGTTTAGGCATTTTTATTATCTAATTATTTCTTTTATTAAATTATTAATTAATTTTAATACATAAAAGTTAAAATCCTTTAAACTGTCACTGAACGATTCCTCTCTCTGCACACTACACTATGACCCTATGGTCTGTGATATTAACCATCTTCTCTTCATCTACCCCAGCTTATCAACACATCGTGACCACCTACTATCCATTTTGAACTTCTCCAACATCCTTTTCGATACTATAAATTTATTTTCCAATAAACAAAAAAACATCATATTAAACATATTATCTTTCTTTAACCATTCAGACTTTTTAATCTAAATTCATATTGTATTATTCTAATGTATTTGTAACAATAATTGTACTTTAATTATAATTGTTGAAACTAATTGTATATATTGTATATATAAAGTTTAAATAAAAAAAAAAAAAAAAAAGTTAAAATGTATCTTCAGAGTTCAGACATAAAAATTAATTACTTACATAGTAAAATGAATAAATAACATACTTTTATTCAATATATAGGTAATTAATTTCAATGAAAATGTGAAATTTTAATTTTTAACAGCAATAATTTATCATTATTTTATTTGTCCTTTGAATAATATGCTTATTATAAGAGTTGTTATTGTTATTTATTTAGTAAAACGGTATAAGTACATTTTGTTCATATTTGTATTCAAAATAATAATGAGTACTTCAATAAAGGTAGAAACATATAAAACTTTATACAATATATAAACACACATACACACATATATATATATATATATATATACATTTATCTATGTATAATTGATATAAAATTCAGATTTTGTCAAGATATTTATACAACAATGATTTTTTTGAAATATAGAAAATAAAATATAGGTGTATGAAAAAAAAATGTTTACATTCTATTGTTTAGAAAATCACAAGAAATATTACAAGACTCTGCTCTACTTAAACTGATTACAATAATTTTTGATTGTATCAAACTGAAGATTGTTTTTGTTTAATATGATATGTTAATCTAATTTGCTTTTAAAGTGTAATGTTATCTATCCTTTTTTCATGATTAAGTTCTTATGTAGTAAATAATGATTCATTATTTTTTTCTGATATTTCGCTTAACCCCATATCACAAAAGTATTTCTTTAAATTGCAATAAAACATAATAGGTACTGTTTAAAATATTAGGTTGTATTTTATTAAATAATATATATTAAATATTTCTTACTCAGATTTTATTTATAGAATTAACAAACATACTTTAACATACTTAGTATATATATATGTACCACATTATTTCGTTTTTTTATATACCTAGTAAAAATAATGAAAACTATTGTTTAATGATTATCATCCTTGAAATATTTGTAACTTTTAAATAGGTATTCAAAATTTAATTTGAAACAATATTAGGGTCTTCTGCTCCTTGTATGACAATTTTTACAGTAACTCGTCGATTAATAATAACAAAAAAATATTTAAATCACTCCCCGAACATTTATTGATTTAAATAAAACTAATTTTGAACGTTACATTTTAATCAAAATAGATTGTATGCTGTAAACATTTTCTTGATGATTATTTAATGAATATTATTATGTATGTATGCTCATGTTAATGGTTTTGATACTGATTATGCACTCACGTAAACGTGTATTAACAAGTCAATTTTCGTTAAAAGCAATGAATTAGAGTATATTGTATGTATCGTGTTACATTATAGCACCACTTAAAATATTGTATCTCACTAAAATATAGTGACAAACATCATGACCTAGTAAACCAGAAACATAAAGATGAACGCGTATGTATACGCTTTGTAATTATATTGAAGGCATCTGACTTTAATCGATTATTATATATTTTTAAAATAAATAATAATATAAATGTATTGATTATATATACGCATAGTCGCCTATTTTAAATTAATAAACAATACTTTTCATAAAAAAAAAATATAAAGTTATGTAATTATTAAACATAAATATTTCAAAAATGTTATGATAATTAATTGAATACAAATAGTTATATGATTAGTTTTTGTATTTTACATATTTTATTTTATGACATTTATAAAAAAATCTCGTAACTTTACAACTTTTTTGTTAGTTTTATAGTTTGAATGTAAAATATTTATTATGTTTTTTTCGAAATGTTACGACAGAGATAAACCTATGTGCCAGAGATAATAATATATTTTGTAAGAATGCGTTGCCTTTTAAATAACTAATAAAAAAAATGTATCCACCTTGAGCGTATTATACGATTTGCGTATCTGAATCTATCATGAATAGTAACCACCACACATATACTTTACAATTTAGGCATGCGTTTTATAGTTCATTTAAGTTTTTGGAAATAAACCAAAAGTGATAACTGTCCTTAATATTATCTAGGTCATATGTACAAAATAATAAATCTTTTTAAATAATTATGATTAAAAAAAAAAAAAAAAATCTTTGTATAACACGGTACTATATATAATATGAAAAATTCAATGATAGCGGTCACTGAGTTCAATTTAAATAAACAACATCCATAGAAACATAATTTGTTAACGAAATCAAGTTATTATTAATAATATAAAAAGTACACAGCGCTTTTGTATATCATGCATAATATAATACGGGACCCCCTCTATATACGCTTGTGAAATTAATAATTTTAATACAATTTATTTGTTCATCGCCTGTGAGTATTGTGTAAATTGTTACATACATATGCAGTTCGCGTAAATTTATGTTTTAAAATTAATTAAATTATAACTAAATAAAACCATGTCGAGTTGTCGATATTGTTTATTATATAATTACAATCAAGTAGTTATTTTAAGAATATATATATTATTGTATTTTATTTAGGAAATAATATTCTGATAAGTAGGTATTTAGTAAAATATTTTGAAGTTTTAAGTAGCTTTATTTTTTGATTGGATATTGTTTGTTGTTAAAATTTAAATTTTAGATTTCCTAGCTGTTTAAATTTGTTTTATGTGATAAAATAATTTTAAAACGTTTAAATACTTTAAATTTATATAAATGTGCGTTAATTACAACCATCGATATGAATCATATAGTTTTTGACTTTCTGTATGTATTTTTTGAATTCAATATTGTAATAAATGAAATAAATTTGACAGACACCGATGGGCCTAAATACGTATTTCTCATCAAACCTTTTTTTAATTTTGCATTTATTAGAAAACATTTTCTTTATAAGCTGAGGATTTGATTAATATTACAGTTTGTATAGGCCAAAACAATATTATTATAATCGTATATTATGTATTTGTTGTAATGTTATGCTATTCGTTGTTATAATTATAATTTTAAACTTTTCAGTTTTAGGGTAACCTTTAACACTTTTTTTTTTATAGTAAACAAAGACCTTTGAATGAAGAACAAATGTTACACAAAATATTGCGTACACAGTCATACTTATATAGCGTGATATGTAGAAGTATAAAAAAAAATAATTTAATAATAAATTGATTATTGAAATACTGTGCAATCTCGTTGAAGAAAAAGGTTACAAGTGAAGTCAAGCATTACGAGTTTAATTATTTATCGTTTAAATGGAATTAACATTTAAGATAATCTAGATTATAGTTTTAAATTTAGTTTACACTTTGAGTACGTTAATAATGTATTTGGCAACAATACGCATATGTACACTGTACACATACGTCATACATATTGTATTAAACATAATATATGATATACATATATATATATATATATATATTCGTAATTGAAAATTCCATTATCCCTATTCATAAGGTGATGAAATGTTCGGCTAGAAATTTTTAATTCGGCAGTCAGAAGGTGTTAACTTAAGTACCAACATAGCTTACATATACCGTATTTATTATTTATGGCAAGTTGAAAAACTCAATATCTCGCGGGGAAAATGATTTTTCATGAAAGCATTCAAAGTAATATTTTTCACTTTGGTTCCAGGAGTTTTCATAACGGATAAATTCCAAACCCCAAGTGTACATGTATATATATATATAATATATTTATATATACCTGCAGCTTACGTACATATACATCTTGTACAGATGGATCCTACGGGGAAAATTATTCTTTTTATCCGACACAGATGCACTATATATACATATATATGTTACTGTGCATTATATGTCTTTTGAATCACCTACTCAATCAGTATTTAATTCCTCCATTATACCATAAAATGACAGATTCATTATTAATTTAAATAATGTAATATATGATTTTATTTGAACAATAAATATAATATAAAAAATGTAATATGACATAATAACTTATATTATGTCATATTACATTTTTTAACCTTATTATACACGGAAATTTATGAATATACATAAACATTTTTTAGAAAACTAGAAATACAAAAGAAAAACTTAATGAACAAAATTTACACATACCATAATAAAATTTTTTTTCTAAATTAAATAAATTGTATAATATTATTTTTTTTGTGTTTAGTGTTTGAAATCGCAATAATTTTAAAATACATTTTTTACACAGTTTAAATTATTTTTTTATCATATGTTATCATTATTAAACTTATTACTATATTATAATCATTTAATTGATATTTATATCATAATGAAAAGTAAATAAACTTCAAATAGCTAGCTTATTATTCTATTGTACTATACACATGGTCGATGTATTTTCATTTACTTAATAATTTATTATAGAATATTAGATTAATGAATGTAAATTTTAACATGAAATAATAACAATCAATAAAACAAAAAACAATAAAATTATTATAGAGTTAGTTTAATAGTTAAATTTTAATATATTTATATGCAGTACATAGATAATATACATCATTGTACTTATAGGATCATAGTTGATTTAATACTTCTCCCTTTAAATTTGTAAATTTGTGGATATTTAATTTTTAATTTTTGTTATACAATGATGAAAAGTCTGTAAATTATTTCCAGACAGGTCAATTTCTGTTGATTGAACCAATTTAGGTACTCAAAAATATGGTTTCCTATTTTTTTTTTATATAAATTAAATTTGATTTACTAAGTAGGAATTGGAACTCATTTTTTTATTTATATATGACTATAGAATAATTTGTGAATAAATAATTATATTTAAACTATTTAAAATAAAGCTATATACTATGCCATATTGTAATATTTATAAAAATCTAAAACTGATTTTTGCAAAACATGTTTAATTTAGAATTAATAATTAATCTTATAAGATAATGAAACAAATTCATTGTTTGTTATATATTTTAGTGCCACCGCTCACAGTTACATTCTCTGTCATGGACGATGTTTTGGTAGCTGACCGGAGATACGACATCCAATGTCATTCTGCTGGATCCAGACCACCAGCATCGATTACGTGGTATAGAAACGATAAGAAGCTTCCAAAAATAAAGGTAATTTTTTTAATTATTTAATTTTGCAACAAAACTATGCCATAATTGAACTCGATATCTAAATTATATTTATATCAAAAATTAATATAAATAACCATACAAGTTATGATATTATACTTATTTTATATTGATTATGAATAATAATATAATAGTAACACAATAAATTTCTGCCAGAATGATTTATTTTCATATTGCAATCTTTTTTTTATTCAATATCAAATCAGAAATTTTAAAATTAAATATTTTTTATTCATTTGAAAGTTATCAATATTAACCTAAACAAGCTTTTATTAATTGTATCCAAATGTATACACGAACAAAATAATTAAAATGATTGCACACGTCGATGGTTTATATTCGTGTATTTCATATCAGTTTAAAATTAAACTGATTACTTATAAATTATAATGTCTTTTAATTTAATTGTAACATTTTATAAATTAGTCTTTTAACATAATTTTTTAAGCTACAATGGCATAATAGTTCATAAGTAAATAAAACTAATTACACTTATTTGAACTTAACACACGTACATAGTTAAAGTTATTACTATTTTAAATTTTATTTTTTATATTATATTTTATCAAATAAAAATCCAATAGAAATGCATCTTACAAATATTTAAAACAATAATTAATACCACGATATATTAGGTTCACTAATATAAGCCTTATCTTACCTAGCCATAGGTTAGGTTATGTATATAGAAAACCTACACACATTGGTATTTATTTGTGCTGCTGAAATTATTTTGTAGAATGCAGAATTATAAATTTATTATTATCAATCAGTAGTTTTAAATTTTAACAAAAACATTGATCTCAATTATAATGATAATATTGATTCAATATACAGTATACTTCATTTGAAAACGTGTTCATCATTAGTGCAAAAACGTATCTGTATCTTATAGGCCACGGATAGCAATAAAACTCAAAACATGAGTTGTAATTATGCGATCTATAAGTGCATTACAAAAAATAAACTCATTCAACGTCTAGTATTATAATGAGGTTTAGTCTAACCGTCTATTGATTAAAAAGTTTAAATAATCTAACCATACAAAAATTTACATAACTTGTTATTTAGGTTCATCACTGAACCAACTATATCTAACCTGGACTGATGACAAAACAATTGACTCTAACGATTATACAGCTAAAATAAACGTAAAATAAATACTATTATCATATGTAGTTGATTCATTTATAGAACTTAATTTAATTATAAAAATAAACTCTTTATACGCATCGGGACATATGATATTACATTAACTCACATTTATAAATAAAAACTATAGAAGAAATAGCCGAAATTCTTTAAGTACTAATATTTTTGATCCATGATATCAGATTGTTTAAAACCCCTTTTTTTCCGTTCCAACTCCGACGCCATTCCATCGAAATTCTTAGAAGACTTAATAGAAAGTGATATAATGATTTAAATTTGAAGTAATTTGTTATTCGGCGAAAAAAATCTAGACTGATCAATTTATAAAGTCACCTAAATATAAATATAACATACAAATGGTAAATTAATTTTATTAGTTAGTAGCAGAGTTTTGGGTTAGTTATATCACATTACAATGTGAAAAGATAATCCATTCACTGGCAAAACTTTATAAATTAATTAGTATAGATTTTCACTTCCAAAATAACGAGTTAGTTAAGATTTAAATCGCTACACCACTTCATATTAAGAATTCCAGTTATACAATAATGTCATAATTGTGCATTCATAATTTCTTGCTAAAAGCAGTTTTTTGTATCTATTATATGAAAATACTATATTACATATTTATATACGTAATTTAAATCATCTTTTCCTATGAAGAGCTAGTATAATAATTGAAGGATTAAGGTAAATCAAACTAAGTCAAATTATATAACTTTCACCATTAAGCTAAGGCATTGTCCGGCAGTCACTCTCTTTAGTACTCAAATTCCGTCTACTCCAACAGTAAAATATCTTGGCTTAACCCTTGACCGTAGACTCATCTGGGCCCAACATACGCCTTTAAAAAGATTACAACTAAACCTTCGTCTTCGTATGCTTAAAACCTTACTAGTTAATATTAAACACACAAATCTAAAAACAATACTACTAATGTAAAAATCCCTTATCAAACCTATTTGGGCTTATGTTATCCAACTCTCGGGAAATGCTAAAAAAATCAAATCTAAATCGTATTCAGGCTTTTCAAATTATTGCATTAAGAAAATTAACGAACTCCCCATCTTATGTTTCTAATCATACCCTTTACGCAGACCTGAAAATTAAAACTATAAAAGAAAAAGCAGTAACTCATTAAATAGTATCAATATAAAAAAGTAAGCATTATGTTAAACAATGATAATATGATCCATTTCCTAAAAAAAAAAAAAAAATATCTATAATAAATCAACCATTATTCAGCTTGTGATAGTAGATTTAAATTATTTATATATAAAACCTAAATGTATGCTTTATCGGAAAAAATATCAAAATATATGTTTTATACAAAAATAATAACTGCTAACTGCCCATGCCGTGATCAAGTTGACAATATTAAGAAATTGAAAAGTTTTGTACACAAACGTGTTCCAGACATTAGTAAAATTAAAATTAAAAAAGCAATTCATAACATGAAACACGATGCACAAAGTTCTACGGTTACTAACCACGGAGTCATTATAAACTTAGAAAGCTAAAAAAGCAAATACAAATAATAACAAAGAATACAGTTCTATAAAATTATATTTTTCTTTGTTTGCATATAAATTAAATAAACGAATTGTTAGTAAACGTAATTAAAGGCGCTATGGTTGATAGACGAATGTTTTGGATCAACTAAATAGATATTATTGTGCGACCAAGGTATTAAACTATCCGTAATATTAAATAAAAATAGACGTAATAAATGATTTGTTAAACTTTGTATTGCACTACATAATAATCTAAGCTAAACGTAGATCATTTATATAAAAATTAGTCTTTCCTTTTTCATTATAATAAATCCAAAGATTAGGCCTTCGCCGTAAAAATTCTTAACAATTTTTAAACATTTTATTTTTTTTTTTATGTTAAATAATATTTTTTTTTTTCATTTAATAAAAAAATAGTAAAAACGTATAAACATATTTTTTCTTGTAGATAACTACATCGGTTTCAGGTAAATTGACTTAAATAAGAAGAGTACAACAAGTTGAGAAAAAAAGTTTGAATAAAAAACTACAAATGGTGATTTATTTCTTCTTTTTGATAATAAATTGTGCACAAAAAAATAAAATAATGTTGTTTTTGACATTAAAAATTGTCGCCATTGGCTAGTGGCTATAAAAGATATTATTAAGATGCAACTTATACATATTCATCTACTCTGTTCAAAAAAAATATACTTTGTTCATATGTTATAATATTCAAATTGTATACACTCCGTTTATTTCATAATACTAGATACATTAATAGAAGATGCGTATAAAGAAAAATATTCAAGGTCTAAAATCATTGAATTAAAATTTCAATAGTATGTGGTTTTTTTATGATGTAGAACTTATAAAAAGCTGCTACGAAAGCAGTTAAATTGGAATTTTCAAATATGTCAATTAATGATTGCTTTTTTCAAATTTTGCTTAGTATATTGTGTCATATAAAAGATGCTGAATGGTTTAGAAAACGTAAGGAATATTTTGAATTTGAATCGTATTTTTGTATTATATTTCCTGCTTTAACCTTAAGCTTATGTAGATATTAACAAATAAAGTAAATAAATAATTTTAAAGTATTTTAGACGCGTAAAGATAATTTTTAAAGAAATAAAAACTTAATACTATAAATATAATATAATATAAATTATAATACATTACTTTAAAGTTGGATAATTAAATAGGTCATTTGTACCATAGAATGAAAAGAAAAGCTCTAGTCATTCCTATACTAAATTTATGGAATTATTATTATTTAAAGATTAATTTGGGAATATTGTTTTTTCATCTACAATTAATTCAACTAAATATTATATTCAGAAGTTTAATCAAGTATTCTAAATAAAAAAATATAAAATCACTTGAAAATCAATCAAAATCTTACAGGCTTACAACCTTTATAAACAAATATTCAAAAACAGAACCGAGAAATCCAAAGAAAATATGCTCAAATTACTGTAACCGTATGCCAAATCATTATTTTTATAGAATAGCAATTTATTTTCAATATTACAAAATAAATTTTAACAATTAACTTAGTGTTTATTAATTATTTTATTTAGCTGCACAAATACTTACGATTTTACAATAATTAATAATATAAATTAAAAAATGATTTTCAGTATAAAAATAATTTACGTGAACAGTAATCTTATATACCTACTTATTTATACTTTTTACATGAATAACAAATGTCGAACTGTTTTAACTAATAATTTACGTGATATCATATCTAAAATAAAAAAATAATCTCAAATATTATCATCAGTTCGCGTTATTTCAAAACCATTTACATTTATTTTATATGAATAAATTATTTCTTTAAGACAACTAAATTAACTTTACACAGCGAATGTATAAATATTTAACTTTTATTATTTTATAAGAGTTATTAAGACAAAACTGTATCGATAATTTTAACGTTTCTGTACCTAATATATATTCATATCATATAAAGTTTATAAAATTATAAATACTTGTTAAATATTCCAATACCTAGTATAGAAGCTGTGTGAAATAAAAAATAAAATAAATTATAAAATGTTCATTCAAATTTAATGATTATGAATTTTAGTTATTTTTACAAACAATAAAAGTTTTTGATGTAACAATAATAATAATAAAAAATAATATTTTGTTTTTCTAAGAAAATGATATAACTTTATACACTTTGATGAAAATAAACTCGTCTGTATACATACAAGTGTTTGATAACTAATTTAATACTTGAAATTTCGTATTTTTTTATAAAGAAATGTACTTCAAATAAATTTTAATTTTGATTTGTGAGTTAATAAAAAATCGAATTGTTTCATT